CCCCCACCCCCCACCCTTTGTAGAATGTTCCTCATTTGGAGTTTCCTCATTAGATTCAGGTTATTCATTCTCAGAATACTCCATCGTTGAAACTGCGTCATCAGAGTATCACATCTAGAGTCACAGAGTGTCTATCTGCTATTGGTGATGTCAGTTTTGGTCACCTGGTCAAGGTGTTTTTCAGTTTCTCCAATATATAGTTACTATTTTTTACCTGGTGTCTACTAAACAATCTGAGGAAGACTCTTTTTTAAGTCTATGTTAACATCACCATATTCCACCAGGATTTAGCAGCCTTTGGTGATTTTTCCAACTCCAGCATCCTGTCCTCTATTGTAAGCAGGAGCCCTCCTCTGTCCCCATCCAGTCATTCATCTATGCTTATCTATGTGCACTTTTATATTTACTATTGTTTTGGACTCCTGGTTGTCTATTTTTTCAGTGGCTTATAATTCATTACTTACTTTGGTGCTTAAATTGTCTTAAATTTGCTCAATGGGAGATCCTTCAGTCTGGCTCCTATGCCCTTGTGGCATCCGTTTTAATTTTTTTTTTTTTTTTTAGCACATTTTCCTAAATAAAAGATGTTCTAGGATCTAGAATTAGCGGTTTCTTCAAGAAACTCCTGGGGAGTGATATTAGACACGTAGGTCTGGTTGCTAGGTGTCATCTCTTTCTAGGCCTGTTCAGACAGATTTAGGAAATGTGCCTGTACATACATAAACGTAATATGAATGCACCATGTACATTTCACAGGTACTTCTATACGCATCGTGTTTGATTTCAGAAACCATGAGTTCACACTGATAATTTCAGTTCCAGGCCATCCTCAGGGTTCTTTCTTGCTTTCTCCATTCCATATTTCTCTGTCTCTTTTTCTTCAGAATTTGGGCACTCCAAAAAGTTCATTTATTCACTCAGTCAATCCTGTAGTACATCTAAAATAGTACTGAGAATTGTTTTGCCCATGTCACTGTAAAAAACACTTAAAAGCTTGTTTGCAGTTCTCTCCCCACTTGTACTCTGCCCGATAATAAGGATATATAATTACATTCTGTGTTCATAAGTTACTTGGATTAATTCTTTTTCCCCTCTTTTACTGTGATTATGTTATTTATTTGAAATAAATCGGATTCATTTGTTTCAGTTTTTTTCCAGGTTTAAGGTTCCCCCAAACACACGCACACGTACTTCATATCCTTGTTGATTTAGTTTTTAAAATATATGGGATATTAGCATGCTTCTAAAAGTTAGAACTATACCAAAGGTATACTGAGAAGTATTACGGTCTAGGGGCGCCTGGGTGGCGCAGTCGGTTAAGCGTCCGTTCACACAGGGCTTAAACCAACTGTGAGAGATCATGACCTGAGCCTAAGTCAGATGCTCAGTGGACTGAGCCACCCAGTGCCCTCTTGTAGGTCTTCTAATTGAGAACCTGAAAGTGTGAGAAAAGATTTTTTCATTGGGTAGCCAAATTTCATGTCACAGGAACAAATACCAAGGTAGATATTTTACCCTTATAGGAAAGCCTCAACTTCCTTTAACTATTTTAATATGTAAAAAGACAGTCAACTGTGCATGAAATTTTATTTTAAATTAATAAAAAAGTAAACATGTTTTATCTCATAAAAGGGTAAATTGCTAGTGATCTGAAGCACAGTTGTTTAAACAACTTATTTTGGCATTTTCAAAAAAAATTTATAAGATTTTAATGTGTTTGATCATATATTTGCTTATAATCATCTCTGCTACGTTTCTTCTATGATAATATGACATTTTAAAAAATAATATTTTTGGCAGATTTTGCCTCAGGTCATTGAAGGAGAAGTTTATAGAATCAATGTCATCTTCATAATAGCAGTCACTTGGGAATAATGTATTCAGTGCTTTCTTATGTTAAGTGCTTTTGTGTGTATTAACTTATTATAACACTGCCATAACAAGTGAAGAAATTAAGTAATTTTCCAAGGTCACAGAGCTGGTAAGTTGGTAGATCTGGCTTTGAACCCAGACAAACTCGCTCCATGGTCTTCTCTGCTGCTTCCCAATCCGAGATGCATAATGCTAATCTAATCTGGTGATTGAAAAAAGTTTCTACCATTTGGAAGAGGTGTGATAAAGGACATCTTAATATAGAATTGCGGTAGGTAGAGAGAACAGTGTTGTGGTTGAAACTGGGGTAGATATGATAGGCCCAGAACCCTCATCCTGCTACTTTGACACCATCTTTCCCTCTGTGGAGGTCCCAAAGCATCCCTGCTAAACCCATTGTGGCTGTGGAGAGAGAGGTTTGAAAAAACACTTTATAAACAACCACATTTTAATTATGAAATCGAGGTCAGGAGCCTAAGAGTTGTCCATGATCCTTGACAGAGGCCGAATCAGGGGCTTGTCTTTCATTTATCGGGCAGTATTAATATTTCAGTTTGTTTCTGGAGTGTGCCCAGCATGACTGAATTAAGAATATTGGCAATTCACATTATTTCTTAACCGTTTGAGGAGGTATAATTGGGCTTGGAAAGTTTGTGTTGATAATATGTATTATTTCTGAGACCAAAATTCAACCATGTATGAATTATATAGA